TGTTCAGGGTCTCACTACTAGATTGGACTTGTAGTGATCCACCTGTTTACAGTCTCCCAAGAGCTGGGATTACAGGTGCACATCACCATGCCCAGTCTATCATTGACATTACATGGTTGATTGGACCACGTGCTTCAATAACAAACACAAAATTTCACTGCTGCTGTTTGTAGCTTCCCTTTTATAATTGAATGAATTCTGATGGTTTGAGATTGCTGTTTTCTTCTTCCATAGTTGACATCATTGGTATTTACATACGATTTTGTTGTATATTCCAGGGATCAAATTCAGGACCTTGTGCTTGCCAGGCAGGCACTTAGCCACTGAGCTATCTCCATGTCGTCCCCCGCACCACCACCCCTTGAACAAGGGCCTCACTATATAGCTCAGGCTAATGTTGAACTCATGGCAATCCTCCAGCCTCAGTCTTCTAAGTGTTGGGGTTATAGGCGTACACCACCATGCCTGGCATACTGTATTCTCCCCATTTACAGTAAACTATTCTGACTACGATTGTTACTTGATAGTAGAATGCTTTTACTTCTCACTTGTCCCAAATTCACCTTAGCCTAGTGAAGTCTGGTTCTCTACCAGAGGTAACAAACTGCAAAGTGTGTAGGTTATAGCTGGCTGTTTTTGCAGTCTGAGTTAAAATGGCTTTTTATATATAGAATTTATACATTTTATATGTAAAAATATAGGCAACATTAAGTCAACTAAGGGCCAGTGAGATAGTTCAGCAGTCTAAAGCTCCTGCTTAAGCTTAGGCAGGTACAGGGGACCTTAGTTTGATCCCCGGCACCACATGCTGCGCCAGCCCCACCCTCAGGGTAGACTGAGCCAGCCAAAGAAAAGCTGGGCATGGTAGCACATGTCTATAATCCCAGGCCTTGGGAGGCTGAGGCAGAAAGATTGCTGTGAGTGTGAGGCCAGCCTTGGCTACTTAGACCCTATCTCAAAAAACCCAAAACTATTAATTTTAAGTGTGATAAATAGTATTGTGATTGTGCTCTTTCTAATAAAATGAGAAGATCTTATGTTTTCTAGGTCCCTAGACTTCTCAGATAATATCTGTATTTATTCAAAATATGAGAGGGCAGAAAAGGGGTAGGACAGATAGAAGATTGACCATGGACTGATAATTACTGAAGCTGAGGCTGATGTGGAACTGCTGGGCTAAAGTGATCCTCCTTCCTCCTGAGTGGCTAGATACTGGATGCCTGGATCTTAGATTTCAAACAAAATACCCCTATAATCTTAAGCCCATATTAGGTGGAGACCTGACAAACAGCTCATCCAACAGAAAACAGGCAACTTATGGCTCTTCTTTTCCTACCCTTCTTTTTTTCCCCCATTTCCTGCTAGAGGTCCATTATTCCTTTACTGTGTCTGCCTAGAGTGTCTACAGCAAGTTTCCTCTCATCCATAGCAGCTAGACCTCAGGCTTCAAAAGTGTACCCAGTTCTACCTTCTTACCTCTTGAGTGTTCTAAACAAAGGTGAGGGCTGAGGACATAGCTCAGTGGGACCTGGGTTTGATGGCCACCAAGGCTGGGTGGGTGGTGCATGCCTGTAATCCCAGTGCTAGGGAGGCTGAGATACGAGGATCTCTCTTCAGTTCAAGCTGCATAGTGAGACCCTGTACCAAATAAAGAAAAAAAAATTTTTAAGAAGTCAATCCTAAACAAAGGTGGATTGAATGAAGTCTTACCTTGAGACCAGAGCCTTGCATCTGTCTCTAGTGCCTGCATGACCTTGTGTAAGTTGAAAATAGCTACAATATACCGATACATGGATAATATCTGTTTAAAGCAATCTGCTTATTAGTTCCAGGGTTTCGTTAGAGGCTGCTGTGATGGCAAGACTTACCTTTGCTTAGCAGCACTGCTCTGTAAAGAACAAAAGTGAGAGATCACCATTACAAAGCACTGCATCAGAGGGGAGAACTGGTGATAACTTGGTTTGGAAATGGTTGTTGAAGAACTGTGAAGACATGCTCTAGTGACTGGTACCTGTCGGAGAGGGAGGCAGCTCATTTTGTGTGTGTGTGAGGGGGGTGCTGGTTCAGCCCACCCTGAAGGCAGGGCTGGCACAGCCTGTGGTGCCGGGGATCAAACTACTGCCTAAACTTGCTTTTTTTTTTTTTTTTTTTTTGGCGGAACTGGGGATTGAACCCAGGCCCTTGCGTTTGCCAGGGAAGCGCTTATTCCACTGAGCCATCGCCCCAGCCCTCAAGCAGGTGCTTTAGACTGCTGAGCTATTTTGCCAGACTCATTCTTGATTAACCTCAGAATATTTAGGAAATGCCATTTGTTTTGTTAGGAAAGAGAGTGAAAGGAATTTGATAGATTTGGGTAACTCCCAGTGGGGACAGAAGAATGTTTATTTTTTTTCTACCCACACAATATACATAACTCTTTCCTGCAATGTGTTGTTTCAATGGTGAAGACCAACAATTCTTTAGTTTTTCAGCTTTTTTTTTTTTTCCATCTTTTCACTGAATGTCATTTGTGATGTAAACATAAACCAAACCCTCCCTTAACGTTAGAGTATTACTTTCTCTCCAATACAGTTATGGGCTAAGGATGTTCCCCTTAGATAAGTTCTAATAATTCTCGCACTGTAGGCACAAGTTCTCTCCTTTGATGTGCTGTTATATTTTTTTTTTAGCTCATTTTTGTAACTACCTTTCATACACAAAGTAGGCATTGCTTTATTATCTTTATACTTTCCCAGATTCACAAAGGTATCTCTTTTAAGTTGGAGCCTGAGTTAAAAAGGTGCCTCTAGTAGGATTTGAGGCCTGGAACAAGAAGGTAATTGCAGTAATTGGAATTGGGAACGTAATATAACCTAGGAATCATAGTCTACTTGAGTGGGTTGCTGTTTCAAAGGACTTGTTAAACTCCTAAAGCTCTGAGGGACTTTAAGCACGTAGAGGGCTGGGGATTCAACTTAGTGTTAGAGCTTTTACCTACAAAGGCCCTGGGTTCAGTCCTCAGTATTTAAGAAAAATAAAACAAGCTCCAAAGAGCCTTAAGAAAGAGACGGCTAAAACCTCAAAAAGCAGTTCCACTCTTTTATACAATTACCTATGTTTGTGGCTGAAGTTCTACTTTAATGTATTGGCCTGACAAATGTAGGCATTTGGTGTGCCCTACTTACCTTGTCCCTTCTGTTCTGTTTTCCTACAAGTGGATGCAGGAACTTGATGACTTTTCTTCCTCTGGAATAGGATGTAGAGAACCACTCTGCCTCCCTCTACTTGGGACCTTTGTAGCCAGGCTTGTAGTGCACTGAATGAGGGCTAGGTGGAATGTGAGGTGGTGGAGCGTTCAAGAGAGCTGTAGCTCTGAAGAGTTTTGCCCTGGGGTCTTAGGAAAAGGGCGGATGCATCTTCGAATTGGAGACAGGCCCTCCATATCTGCTAGTTCCTGGTTTAAGAGCAAATGCCGTAGAGGGGAGTCATCAGGATTTAGGTAGTGGTACCTCAGTTTACAAACTTAATTCATTCCATGATTCTGGGGAAAAAGGTAGCAATTGTGTTTGTCATGTGATGCAGAGCTTGTGAGCAGAAGCAAAATTTTGCCAGATGCTTCTGTTCAGAAACCAAATTATTTGCAAGTAGAAGCATTCATGAACTGAAGTATTACTGTATTTCACAGTCTTACATCTGCCAGTTGTCTGGAAAGGGATACGAGAAGGTAGAATAATATCCTGTCCTGTGGTGTGTCAGCAGATGGAGTTGGTACTTTGCTGTGTGGAGGGACTTGGTATATTTGAAGTTGAATTTGGGTTGGCAATTTCAAGTCATCTTCTGCCCTCATAGGAATGTGGTGGTGTGATTTGGAGGGATTCAAGTTTCCCTGTCTGAGGTTTTTTCTCAAAGCCTGGCCTGATGTTAACAGAATTGCCAAGGACCTGAGCCCCTCCCACACACAAAGGGGCCATTGTTTATGGACCTGGTGTAGTCCAAATGAGACACCAAATCAGATGCAAGCACCAAGCCTTGCATAAGCCCTGATTAAAATGTTTTTTGAAACAACTAGGCCAGTAGTCAGAGTGGAATTCTTCAAAATGGGACAGGTGTCCAGAGTGGACCAGCACCCTCCCAGCAAGCCTGTCTTTGATTATAGCCCCCAGTGGCCTTGTTTAGATACTACTCTGGAAGATGACTTTTTTTTTTTATAAACATCAAATCCAAAATCTGTTTGTGTACTGCCCGGTGGATGTTGCCAACAGATGTCTCTTATGAAACAATTCTAGCCCACCATTTGTTACCTGATGGTGGTTTGGCTGAGGTGGCTGTAAGGAAGTTCCAGGACCCGTGGTTGAAATTGCCACGTAAAAAGTTGTGGATTATCACACTTCACAGGTCTCGTACGAGTAACAAAATTAGCCAAAAGTTCCTTAACAGAAAATGCTTACTGAAGTATCTTAAAATTTTGTGCTCGTAGGTTACAAAAGATTCAAAACCTTTTTTCCTTGAAATAGAATATGTACTTGAAGTGTTTGCTGTTTTTTCTGTATGCTATCAGGGGGAGGTAGAGCCTAGTGGTCACATGCACCTGTTTCAGGTTGGATTTATCTTTTCAGGGTTCATGGGATTGCTGGGGAGCAGTCTGGCCCACATCTGTTGTGGAGTCCAAAGATTAAGAGCAAGGTCTGAAATGGGAGCTCACCTAGCAGAGCCCAGGCCCTGAACGTGTGGATCATAGTAGAGAACAAACTTGGTCTTGAAAGGTGGAGTGCCACATTGTTACTAAAAGTTTGTTCAAGTTCAGGCTTTGAAACAAACCCAATAAAAAGTATCTTTATTCTCATGTTAAAAAACTGATTTATTAACAGTATAAAAATACTTTGCTACATCAATCCATTTTCTAAGATTTGTTGTAACACTACACTAGAATATGTGAATTTTGGATTCTGAGTAGGGATTTTATTGAGGGAAGTGAATACAGGGATAGCCCTTTTTCTTTGGCTTTAGGTTATGTACAGTGAGGAAGAGGCTTCAGATTTGTTTTTCAAGGCTCAGGGTTAAAGCTTGGCTCAAAAATGGGTTAAAATAGATTGGTAAAAACCTGCCCACCACTAGAAGTTTCTGGACTCCTTCCCTTAGTTGTAATGGCCCTCCTTCCTACAGCCCTGTAGGAAGACAAGCTGACCTCGTCTGGATGCTAGAAGGTTGAGATTTGCTCTCTAGCTGCCCAGGAGCTGGCTCTGCCCACACAGGTACGCTGGAAATGGTGGTGTGAAATGTACTCTGAAAGGGGAGGGATGCACACGAGTTGGACCATGACTTTTCTATTGAAACTAGGTTACCTGTCTCAGTGCCTGGAGCCTTGCTATCAGAGCTGCTGGGGCTGAGGAGTTTCAGGAACATCTCCAAGTAATCTGACCTACAGCTATTATTCACACTTGCCTGACTGAGTAGTATCAGGCTGTTCTTGTTGCCTTGCTGATGGACTGAAACTCCTTTCTCTTGCAAACTCTTGAGAACATGCTCTAAGGAGGCTTCCTCTCCTCCAGCTTATGGGCAGCAGCTGGTTTTCTGTAACTAGAACTCCAGTCCCTGAAGAACCATTGTCATTTTGAGCTATGGTTGTTGCCAGGCTCACAAGTTGTTTGATAATTGGGTGGGGGGAGGACGGGCAGGAATCAGGACCTCCTGCTTGTCATGCAGGTGCTGTGCTGTGCTGCTGGGCTAAATCCCTAGCCCTATACCAGGTCATTTCTTGGTCCAGGACGTGTCTGTTGTGGGGAGGAGGGCTATGGCAGGGGGACAAGAGGCCCTGGTAGAGCTGGGAGCAAGGGAGGCAGTGGTATCTACCAAAGACAAATGGTCAAAAACAAAACAGTACCAGCATGGGCAAAAGTTTTACCACTAGCAAGCAAATGAGTAAGAAGCCTTCATCTCAGACTACCAATAACAATTCAGATGAGGAAGATTCTGGTGCCAGAGAAGATTCTGTTCTGGCCCCAGTGGATGTAGACCTGAACCTGGTTTCAAATATATTGGAATCCTACAGCTCCCAAGCTGGACTGGCAGGGCCTGCCTCAAATCTCTTACAGAGCATGGGAGTGCAGCTGCCAGACAACAGTGATCACAGAGCCTCCCAAAAGCCAGTGAAAGATTAGCTGACATATCTAGCTGTTTCCCTCTTTAAATAAACAATGAGTCTGAGTGGAAAGAAAAAAACAGATGCAGGATGCCATAGTCATTAGGATGCCCTACACGGTCCCATCTGGACAGGTGGGCCCATCACTTGAGCACTTGAAATTGCTGGCCTCAGGTTCAGGCAGTTCTGCCTCTTGGCCTGGATCCTGAGGGGTTAACAGGCCCCTAGCTGGTTTCCACATGATTTGAGGCTCTGCTCTCCCTTGAGGCTGGAGCTGAGCCCCTGGAGGAGCCCAGAGGTGGTTCTGCGTGTGCTAGGCTGCCTGTCTATGAGGTTCCTGTTGCTGTACTTGTGTGCTCTGTAGGACGCCGCAGGGGGCCGGTGGGGCAGTTCCCAAGGCTGGGAGGCTGAGTGCAGTAGAGAGGCCTGGGGATGCTGGCACGAGATCCATGGGGCTAGCAGGCAGCTCTGGGGGGAAATGGGATAGCAGAAGGTATGAGGGTGAGGCCTGGGGGCCTGGGGGGCTGGGACAGCCTAGAGCACTGTCATCGGAAGGAACGGGGCTGGGGCAGCGGCCTTCTCCGGGTAAGTACCGAATGCATTTCTTTTTCCTCCTAGGAATAGTGAAGAGAGTTATCTGTAAACAGAGGGTGAATTCAAAGTCATACACCACAACCAAAACATGCTGTCCTTGCACAGGCCTGGCTGACCTCCTGTCCCCCTCCCCTGGACTTGGTTGGTGCACCTGTGTCTTCAGACCTGGATCGGCCCTGCAGATTGTGCAGAGCCTGGCCCAGACCTACAGAAGGTGCAGTTCCCAGAACATCCCGAGTGGCACAGGCACCTGTTGTAGCTAGGCCTGTGGGCACCTAGTATGAGTCTTTGAACTTTGGCTTCAGGTTTGTGAGCTTGGCTCTAGAGGATCTGAGGGAGCTAGCTAGCAAGTTAAGTATTAATTAAACAAGGGGCTTCAAAGCCTGGGACTGGTGATCAATCCCAGTCATCAGAGCTGGACTATGAGAAGTCCTCACAGTGACTACTCCATTACCACAGAGTTCTCTGGGTCACACTGATCTTGGGAGTAGGCTGCAATGGATGGAATGGGACCTGAGGACATGGTTGTTCCCCACATCACTCCACGCCCCACTATCAGCTCCTTTGTTGGAAGGAGGGACACATTTCTAAACCGTGGCCTTTTCGCTGCAGTCCCTCTGCATTGGCCCTGCTAGCCCTGATCTTAAATGAGGCAACTTTAATCACTTGGCAGGCAAATCTTCATACCCACAAGTATTTCCTGCCGTGTGGTGCCTAAGCCTCCCGGAAGGTACGAGGTGGTCATGTGGCTGGTGGCGCCCAAACATGTAACTCATTCTCTGGTGTCACCATCTTGCTCTCACATCTTTATAGGCAGGGATTGCACCATGAAATGGGCAAGCTGGAAGGCCATGACTGAAGCCAGGAAGCAGGGCAGCTACCCTACCTAGTGACATGAATCTTTCTGTTGAGGACCTACATAAAGTTGCACTCCTTGCACTGAGACCCAACGATTTGCGCTACAAGCTGTATCTAGTTTCTCACATTCTTGGGCACAGATTCTCCTATCTTCTGGGCAGACTGGGGGATGAAGGGGGAAGGGGCTGCAGGCCCAGCAGAGTATGTGCAGTCAGGGAAGCAGCTTAAAGCAAAGGGAGAACGTTGGTGGGGACAACCCACCTGCACGGACCACACCAATCCGTCTGCTGGTTGAGGCCAAAGCGAGCACGGCATTTCTTAGGTGAGCCAGGGTCTGCTTACAGCCATGCCAGAGAGGCAGAACAGGCAGAGGGCGAGCAGGAAGGTAGGCAGCAGAGCAGAGCAGGGCCCAGAAAGAAGAGGTAATATCAGTGTTAGCCAGTTACAGACACCCATAGCCCCCACAGGCAGAGTGACCTCTCCAGCACAGCCAGCCCTGGTGGGGCAGGAAGGGGCCTCTCAGGCTACCCTAGTATGTGGGGTGCAGGTGCTGGCGTGGAGCCTGCAGAAGAACTGAGGGAGGCTCGTGGCAAGCGGCCCTTGCTGCTCCAACACTGTCTACCACTCCCCCAGCTGCCTGCCTGTTTTGTTGTTCTTTATCCTTACCACTGTCCAGTCTTCCTGACTCTGGCGTGACACAACGCCACAGCTTATGACTGTTACACTTCCACCTGGAAAGAAGGGACTGTTTTCCCATTCAGAGGATGCTAGGACTCTGCCCCACTGTGCCCCAGTCCTGGCTCTAGCTTTGCTGTGTAGGGCACAGCTAAGAAAGCTGGGTATGTTCACTAGAGTTGAAGGCAGGGATTTGCCCACAGCAAGGCCTACAGCAGCACATGGGCTCCCCAGAGCCCCTCCAGAGTGCTCTGAATTGCCCCGAAATGGCAGGGGTGGGGCCGTGGCGATGGGGAACCTGCCAGGCAGAACTGGGCAGCATGCACTTGTTGCAGTCACTTCCTAATTGCTCTGCAGAAGCCAGCTTTGGATAGGGCTGGCAGAGGAGGCAGGGCACACCACCTGCCAACCGAGTCTGCTCCTGCAGGTCTCATGGCTCAGTGCTGCGGTCCCTCATGTACCCGGCATTGGACTTGGGAGGTGCAGGCCTCCTTTGCAGAGGGCCTAGAGTGAGGTGGGCTTGGAATGGGGGTGTGGAGAGCGGCCTCCACTCCTGAGGCAAGGCCTCACCTGACGTGGACTCCTGATGCTTTTCCCTTGAACGCCTCTTCTTCTTCCCCTGTAGGGAACAAAGGGAGGGATATTCAGGTCTGGGGGGGCGCCCAGCCTGCCCCTCAATGACGCTCACAGTGCTCAGATCAGAGGCCTCACCCACTTCACGGGCCTGGGTCTCTGCACAGCTCAGGCTGACCTTGAGCTTGCTTTGTAGCCCAGGCCAGCCTGAACTTGAAACAGTCCTCCTGCCTTAGCCTCGTGGTATACGCGAAGCCCCTCCTTTGCCATGTGCCCCAGAGAGGAACTGGGCCACAGCCCCATGTGAACGGACTGGAACATGGAGCACAGGATGTGGGCTTCCTTTCAGGGGCACCTCCCTGGCCTGCCATGGGAGGCTTTGGACCTGCTATATGCACAGCCTACCTCACCTATAATGTCAGGACAGTATTTGTTTCCCTGCCCAGGGTGTGGACTGGGCACAAACAACCCTGCCCCCGCCCCCACCGCCGTGCCCCCACTGTGTGTTTGGTGACTCACGTAGTTGTCCCGCGCCGACCAGCCCGGGTACAGCTGCATGTGCAGCTGCCTCTCCTTGCGGGCCAGCTCATAATACTTGGCCTGCTCTTCCCGAGACAGTGCGTGCCACTGTAAGGGGAGAGGCGCAGACAGGGCACAAGGGAGCCATCAGCGTGATGTGGGTCAGAGCCAGCCCGCCAGCCCGCCAGCCGCAGCCTTACCCTGCGGCCCAGGATCTGGTTGATGGCAGCGCTCTCCTTGAGTGTGCACTCTGCGATGACCTTGGCTCTCATCTCCTTCATGTACAGCATGAACGCGTTGAGGGGCTTCTTGATAGTTGGCTTCTTAACCTCCTTCTCTGCCTTGGCTTCTGCCTGTGTCTTCCTGGGAGGCAAAGCCCATCTGTTGGCACATGCCCTTCCCTAATGCCTGCACCCTCCACCACTGTGGCCATGGATGTGCGTGGACTGCGTTTGTGAACAGAACCTGCCCCAAATGAGTGAGCAGAGGGGGCCTACCGGTTAGCTCAGTTGTTTAAGTGCCTGTTTATGCAAACGCAGTCAGTTGAAGCATACTGTGGTTCGATCCCCAGGTCCTCATGCCTTACCAGACCTGCCCTTAAGGCATCCTGAGCCAGCCAGAAGAAAAAAGAAAAAAAAAAAAAAATCCTTCAAGCAGAAAGCTATACACAAGGAGTCCTCAGCCCCTCAGGATTAAAAACCACTTCTCAATAGTCAGAGCTCAAGGACAGCCGTGGGCCTCCCGGCCGGTCTTGGACTGGTGGAAGGCATGTGAGTCCTGGATGATACATCAGATTCCCTCCCGTCCCTACCCTCCTTGCCCGTTACACTCACAGGCTGCGGTCGTAGGGCTGCAGATCCTGCTTCCCCGAGGAAGGCACAATGGCCGGGTGGGGGATGGCTGCTGGGTGCCCGGGTACACCCGAGCCTAGCACCAAGGACGGGTGCGTGAACCTGGAGGGGCAAGGAAAGGTAACACTGAGCCAGGACTTACTGGCCAGGCCTCTGGACACACACGGAGGCCCCACAGTGCACAGGGATGCAGGTGAACAGACGCCCCTCCCAGGCCTGCACACAAGTGCCCCAAGACACATACAGGACAGACTGTCCCCTGCTCTGCTGCTGCAATCTCCCTACTGCCACAGAGTAAAGCTGTGGCCCTCCCTGGGGCTGGCTGACACTGCTCAGCATCCCTGCCCACATTTCCAGCCCCATCTCTCCCCTTGCCTCCCACCACTCCTGGCCAGCTCCAACTCCTGCTGTCCCGTTGGCACTCTCAGGAAGAGCTGCCCTTCCCACGAGGCCCTTCTGCCTTAGCAGGCCTGGCTGGGGTTTCCTTGGGGCTGCCTCATTACCCATTTGGCCCATTTAACTGCTAGTGCTGTATGCAAACAACCTTCCCTGGGCTGGGACCCCCGGGAGGATGAAAGGCCAGCCAGGTTCCTTGAGGCTGGTACCAGGCACCAGGTCTGGCCCTGGGGGAATTGAGCACACTCACGTCCCACCTCACCTCTTGCTATCTGGAGACCCCTCTTCCCTCTGCTGCTTGCACAGATGTGGGATCCCCGAGGGACAGTGGCAGGGGCACTTATGGAAAAGGTGCTGTGCAGCTTGGGAGGAGCTCAGGGACAACCCGACAGGGTGCAGGACAGGCAAGCGCACAGACCTCCACACACAGGCTGAGCCCGGTGAGCCCTGCCATCCTAGCTGTTCTGTGCCTGTCGCCTGGACTGAGGCCTCATACCTACTAGCTTCATGCTCAGGCGCAGGACAGCTGGGGTGACAGACGGACAGATGGACACACAACTAACACAGGGTAAGCGCTAGCCTGAGCGTGGCCTTGTGTGGGCACTGAAGCCTGGGCAACAGGAAGCAGAGCCTGGCTGTGGGGTAGGGGACTCACCTGGGGTAGGGGGCGCCAGGGGCTGCAGTGGGGGCGGGGAAGTGCTGTCTATATCCGCAGGAAGGGGACAGGGGGTAGAGAGGAGGGCTGGGCCTGTGGTCAGGAGAGACAGCTGTTAGCAGTCTGGCTGCCAGCCACACAGGGAAGGATGTTCACACCTGCTTCGCCAGACCCTTGACATGGAGAAAGGCGGGCCTCTGCTGGGATCATGCCAGTGTGCTTCAAGTGCTGGCCACCAGGGGGCAGCTGGTGCTGCTAGTATTTCCCCCTTAAAGAGTGGAAGTGGCAGCCTTCTCTTGAGTGCCAACTAAACCACCTAGGTTTGAGATACAAGGCTCTCTTGTCCTAGGGCCTTCACACCCCCAATTCAGCCGTTTCAACTTGTCCTTACCCTTCAGGTCTTGCTTAGCTAAGTGACATTTTTCCCCATAAGCGCACAGATCCCAAGCTGGGTGAGTGCATCAGAGCAATACCTGTGGTGCTCACTAGGCAGACCAAGGGCAGGGGCCCAGGGGTCAGTCAGCTTTAGCAGTGTTTCTCTGTGCTCAGAATCCTGCTGGCACACAGCAGGGCTCTGCAGAGGCTACAGTGCCCCAACTCTTCTGCAACCAGGGGTTCCCTGTGAGAGCTGAAAACACAGGCCCTGCTCCCTGCGCAGCAGGACTCTTAGAGCCTTGGTACATAAATGTGCCCTCCAGGCGCAAGCCTCCTGGCCTTTGGCAGTGGCCAGTGGGACCCTGAAGAGGCTGGTCCTGAGATGCACTTCTGTAGAACGTGGCCTGGCCCCATCCAACTAGGTCTGGACAGCCCTGCTGCACTGGGAGAACTCCTGGTTTGTATTTAGAATGCAGCTTTGTTCAGAGAATCCAAAAATGGAAGCGAGGCCTACCATGGGTAAAGTGGAAGCGCGAAGGGGCCAGCGGGGGCCTGGCTGGGCCTCCGGCCTTCTCTTATCTTCCTAGGAAGCCAGGCTTTCCTGCTGTTGGGTGACTGCTTCAGTCCGGAGAGGCCAGAGACCTAGCACTCGCACCATGGCTGGTGAGCACAAGGCCAGCCAGCCTGCTGAGGTCCAATTCTGAGAGTAGACCCTGTTGCCCACAGTCAGGCCTGCTGAGCTGGGATGCAGCCTGCCTTCTCTGACTGTGCCTTAGGAGACCCAGCAAGCAGGCAGGCACCAAAGGAACTCGACTTTGCTCCTTAAGCAGCTACCGAGGAAGGGACCAACTGGCCCTGGGGCCAGAGGAAACACCCTGGCCCACCCCAAAGCCGAGAGGAGCACGTTCTCTGGCCTGCCTTTTCTTCCTTATATACCCATGGCTGTGGCGGGCCCTGAAGAGCCCAGCATTCTCCTACAAAGGAGAGTTCGGGTACTCTACAGAGCCGGGACCATCAGCAGCTTTCCTGCCTCCCTGGAGGAAGTATGTCAAGCAACTTGCAGCGTGCTCACAGCCCAAGGAGCCAAAAGAAGCCCTAGTTCTGAGCCAGGTTGGGACAGCGCCAGGGCCCATGTGAGGTGTACAGAACTGGTCACAGGGCGCACAGCACAGAAAGAGGAACGTGGAAGGGCAGCTGGGCTCCACCCAGCACTGTCCCCACTGGGACCACACTTACCAGCTCACAGTGTGGGGAAGCTGTCCCACGCTGCCTGAGGTCAGGGAGTAGAAGCCAGAAAGCTCAGGAGTCTGTAGAGGCCTATGAACTCCTGCAGTAGAGAGGGACCAGGGATCAGGTAAGTGGGCAGCCTCACCTCAGTGGTGGTGTGGTGTGAGAGACTTAGCAGTCACTGCACGTTAGAGCCTCTGCAGGCAACTCGAAGATCCTTCTTCCCTTTACTAGAGGTCCAGGCACAAACCTGTTTGTTGTGAAGGATTTTTTTTTCTTTTGGCTGGCTCAGGCTGCCTTATGGGTGGATCTGGTAAGGCACGTAGAGCTGGGGGTAGAGCTGGGGACCGAGCCACAGTCCCCTGGGCCTGACTGGGTTTGCCGAAGCAGGCGCTTAAACAACTGAGCTAACCCACAAGCCCCGACAAACTTGTTTAGGGCCATCCTGGAGTAGTGACAGTGGCCATCTGAAAGGCAAGGGAACTAAGGGACAGGGTCTGGGTGGGTTGCATACAACAAGGGTTGGCCAGCAGGCAGAGCTGGGGTCCCCTGGAGGGGAGCCAGGCCTCAGACTTCCTGCCGCATGGGGACTACTGGAGCCAGTGTGGATTGGAGGCAGGACGTGGGGCCCCTGGACTGAGGAACCCAGCCTGCAGAGCCAGCCTGGCCCAGGCTGGACTGGCGGGTTTCCCACAGCTGACAGAGATGGATTTCAGAATGACTTTAGCTGAGGCTGAGGTGAATCAGCCATCACAACCACCACTTTCCATTTTCTCATGGGGGAGGGAAGCGCTGCCAGTGCTAGTGGTACAGGGAGGCGCTGTCAGACTGTGGTGGTGGTGGTGTATGTCCCTAGTCGATCCTCCGGGCATTTTCTGTGGGCCTTGGGTCTGGCGGCCCCAGTTCTCCTGTTATGGAAAGGGCCCCACTACCTGATGTCAGGCCAGAGTGCTGGCCGCAGCCTCTGGCCTGCTCGGGCCCCGCCCTGCCCCCCAGCCCATACCTTGCCTCTGGCTGATGTCCGCAGGGACCTGTGTGGGGTGTGGGTTGCTGAAATGTTCGTAGAGAGGAGAGAGTTGGGGGACGCTGTGGGGGGGCTGGCTGGCCTTGTGCTGAAACGAGAGGAGGGAGGTGAACACCGGGAGTCCGAGGGAGGGCGTGGGGTGAGGGCTTGCACTGGCTGCAGCGTGGCAGCCCCCTCCACTCCACCCAACCCACATCCGAGGCATCATCTTGCCGTCCACTAGTGCGCTGCCCAGCAGCCCACCTGCCCTGAGCCTTAAGGTCCCTCCTGGCCTTTAGGTGCCAGGGATCCCCATTTTCCCACGGCCTATTGCGGGGCTGCTCGAGGCTACAGGCTCAGGCCTCCTCCACCCCAAGGCTGGGCTTCCTGCACCTGACCCCATCCCTCAGCACCCCTAGCTGGCCACACTGCCCTGCCCCCATGGACTCTCACTTTCAGGCCTGTGGCCTGGCCCTGTCCTGAGCTGACGCAGGCAGCAGTCTAGAAGAGGCTTCCACACTCAGCCACAGGGAGCTGCTCCAGGCCTCTGCCCTGCCGTGTGCTCTGCACACCTGGGCACCTACAGCTGAGGCTCAGCTTCTCCCTGTGGAGTCTGCTACAGCAGGGTGCACAGGGACAGCCCTGGCCTGTGCCACGAGTGAAGCTGCCCACCGGGCACAATGAGTCAGATTCGAGAGTTCAGGGCAGCGAGTGGGGCCTGGGGAGGGCCCTGCCCTTGTTTCAGGGAGTCCAGGGTGAGGACCGAGGGACAGCATAGAAGTGGGGTCACCTCAGCCTTATGGCCCCAGCATGACGCCCTGAAGGGGTACAGACTCCTTCCTTACCTCAGCAGGGCCCTGCACTGATAGCCCTCCCCGAGCCTTCTGTGTCCCTGCAGACAGGAACACAGGCATCCATAAGTGGCTAGCAAGGTGGATGGGCGGGCAGCCATGGGTGTGTGGACCTGTGCCATCCAAATGTACACACGCACGGTGCCAAGTACCTCGGAAGCATGTCTGTACCCCCCCACTGGCTGCCAACTGTGCCCTGCTTCCCTTTACAGAAACCTCCGCAGTCCTGTCCCCTTGGGCCAGCTCGTTCTCAGAGTGCAGCTCCCTTCCACACAGCCAGGCAACCCTGTCCTGTCTAGGGTGTCAGGGAGCAGGTGTTGGACCCTCAAAGTAGGAAGCTGCCTGGAAAGCCCCAAGGCCTTTCTGTCCCGCCACACCCACAGTGCTGCTGTCTGTGGCTTCAGGGCCCACCTGGTGGCCAACACTCTGATGACTGCTGGGGTGCACACACTGCCATCCAAACCGCCTTTGTCCCCTCACACACGAGGAGCTTTCAAGTCCCCACTCCTGCTTCAGAGCAAGCCCAGGTCCAAGCCTTGGCCCTGGCTTTTGAGTCTCGGGACCACGGTGGCCTGCACAACTCAGGGGGAAAGCTGGGACCAGGGCCAAGGTGCTGGCCTAGGAAGACAGCCCCGGGGTCTGTGCTCTGCCCAAGGGCCTTCCCAGGTGGTGAGTGTAGCTCCATGGATGGCAGTCTCAAGGTCCCCCTAACCTAGCGCACTCCTGGCTGCACGGTGCTGAGTGGCCTTGCTTGCTGTGCTGAGCCTGGCTCCCAGCCAGTGTTGCTACCTGAGTCCCAGTGTCTGTGTGGGGTGAGGGGCTCCTCCTGTTGGCCAGACTTCCTCTAGGGAAACCAGCAGAGAGTGTCATCCAACCGTGTGCAGCGCAACCACAGTGGGCAGGCGCAGGCTGCACTCCAGCCCCAGCAGCTGGGGGCCCAGGGTGGCCAGAGCTCCCCACTATGCAGGCCGCCTCTCAGCTCGCTCCCGGCCCCTCTGTGCCTGGTGTGGTAGCCAGGGGAACCGCCTGGCACAGGGCCCCATGCCCCTCAGTCAGAGGAACGTCCCGCTCCAGGGCTCCAGCACAAGGCTGTCTGGGGCCAGGCTTCCCAGACGACAGGGTGGGGTCACCTGAGGCCTGGCTTGCATACAGGGCGCCTAGTGACTGTCTCGGTGCCTAGCCCCCAAGGGAAGGAGGTGGTGTGGGCTGGCTGTCACTGTCATCTGTACCCACAGCACCTCACCTTCCTCAGAGGCCAGAGCCTAACAGCCACGCTGTGGCGGTGCTGAGAGCTCAGTGGCTGTATGAGAGCATGGAGACTCAACACAGGCCGCCTCCTCTCATCCGACACCCCAGTGCACTTCAGGGCAACTCCTGTCCGGCCTTCAGCGGGGACAGTGCTTGCTCCCAGGGCAGGGACCCTCCCATTACTGCTCAAGGGCTCAGCTCTCCACGAACACAAGCCACGGCCAAAAGTGCTCCTTTCATACCAGACAGTTTCGGTGGAGTCCAGAAATGCCTCCCCTGAGCCCAGTGCACCCTCCAGCTTTCCAGGCAGGGGGCCGGGCCAGGGCAGGGCAGCAGGAGGGGGCGGCGAGGGACTCCAGAGGTCGGGCTCCTGGCCCACAAGTCACGCTCTGGCCTGCTGGCTGCCTCTGCCCACCACCCCCACTTCCTGCAGGCTCAGGTGAAAAATAAACACAGTCGGCATTTTCCCTGCAGACCGCAGTGGTCTGCTGCTCTTGGGCTGTGCGCACACTGAGGCCCTGTGCCGTGGCCGAGAAACTGCCTCATCTCTGACGGTTGACTCTGAAAACCCCCACGGGCTGGAGCCCCACATCACTTTCCCAGTGAAGAAAGTTGCCATTTCCTCTGGGCTGACGCCCAAGAGGCCTGAGAACTGTCAGGGCTCAACCTGCCAAGAGCCCCCAGCGGCAGGCATGGGGATGGTGGCAGGAGGGCACCCCAGCTGCCCGGGCCTGGCCAGCATGAGACTGAGTGCCACCCAGTCCTGGGGGGAGGACAGCATCTGCGAAGGGTGGCTGGGTACTCCCCAAGTGCCAGGCCTGGCCAGTCTGAGCACTCGCGTGCTTCTCCCAGGTCCTCCTAGCACCTCCTCTGATGGAGGCAGAGATAGGAACCTCCCTGTTGACAGACAGAAAGCTAAAGCACAAGGGCACACGCCTAGCAAGTGGCTGAGCTGGGATGTCACCACTCCACTGAAAAGGCTCTGTGGTCACTGTCACTGAAGAAAAAGGTCCAGTCTCCTGTTCTGTAGCCTGGCTGGTCAGGGCACCCTTGGGACTAGTGATGCTCCTGCAAGGTTCTGGGACCCTCAAGACGGGCTCTGGCATTCCTGGCAGTGACAGCTGTACATGGTCCCCAGGGTCCCAACCAGGCCCCTGCCCAGCCATGCCACCTGCTCCTCTGCCCAGACACCCAGCTCACCTTTGCATCCATGCCTCCACCCACGCTTTCCTCCCGCTTGCCCCCCCAGCTTTCCACGCTCCCTCCTGACCCTCGCTAGGATGCTCCTTATCCTGACCTGGACCACCTCCTGGAGAGGTCTATGCCTGGGGTGTGGTGGCACCAGCCTGGCAGGCAGAGGTCTTTTCGGAGGGGCATCAGCTTAGTCGTCCCAGCATACGTTCCCCTTCTCAGACTAGCAGAGTACAGACCTCTCAAGGCCTTGTACCCCCAGGCCCCGGAATACTCCTCTGCCACAGGGCTGAGACGTCAGGTCCCCTAGGCGAGGATGGTTTCTATGCCTCCTCCACGGTGGGAGAGAATCCCTGGGGAGTGGGCCAAGGAAGGAGCCACAGAGCCACACTGTGGCCTCCTGTTCCTCTGTGGCAGATGCTGCCTGGACAGATGGGGGCCATCGTTGTGGGTATCGTTCTGTTCCCAGGTACATAACAGCGAGGCTGAATAGATGCCAGGCATGACAACCCATCCGAGGAGGGCACTTTATCCTTCCCACCTCCCACCTGAGACTCACCACTGGGAGATGAGAAGGTCACCTGCCTCTCTTAGCCCCTGCATGACCCCTGGGGTTCTCGGGTGCACTCCCTCATCTCTGCCCTCCTGCTGCTGTGCTGTAGCAGGGGTGGTGACTGGTTGCTCAGGGACACTGCCTGGAGCAGTCTGCCCCACTTGGCATGGCCAATTCCACCCGTGCTACAGGCCCCGGGGAAACGTGGCTACCTCTCTTGCTCACATCCCAGCAAGATCCTCTGCCTTGCCTCTCCCTGCTGCAGCACGAGCCCACCTACTGTCACAGCCTACCTCCCTGTCTGCCGCTGGCCCTCCCCAGGGTCTGAGATTGCGCCCTGAACTGCTCTCACTGATGGAACTCAAGCCAGGCCATCATCGAAGTCATAAATACCTCTAGCTGTGTGCAGCAGGGGGCCAGCATTCAGGGAGAATGGTGCAGCACTGAGTGGAACGCTCCGGCTGGGGCTGGCTTGGGGCTCAGCAGCACGTTTGGAGGCCAGGGGGAGCTGGGACCACTGTCCAGGGTGTTCTCAGGGAACATCCTGCCTGACCCCTGAGGCCCATGGCCGCCTCCTTTGTCCATCCCTTCCCACCCATTCAATGCTACTGCTGGTTCATGCAGCTCCTATGTGCTGAGGCCTGTGCCAATCCGGCAGCTTCAGAGGCCTGTGCAGGCCGGTTCACTCAGTCTGCTTTTCCTGAGCACCCAAGGGTGGGCCACTCGGAGGACCCACCTAAACCTCATCTCTCTTCCCTGCATTACCAGGAGCCAAGCTCTAGGGCCGGATCTCCTAGCTCCAGGGGCCCCTTGGAGCCCCACAGCAGCATAGGCCTGTGCCAAGAGCTGGGAAGACCCGGGAACAGTACTGAGGGTCCGGTGTTTACAACCTGCTGGGTGGGATGTTCCCTGAGGCTGGGGGTGGTTCACATAAGCTCCCCAGAGGGGGGCAGGGCCACAGACCTTCCAACGGGCCCTGCTGGGTGTGCATGGATTCATGGGCTCCCACAGTTCCTGCCTCTGCAGAATGAGCCCCGAGGACCAGGGGAGCCACATGGCCTCGCGCCAGGGGCTGCAGCCCAGGAACACAGTGCCCCGCAGGGGACAGCTCGCCAGCTTTCTGCCCCCAGCATAGGAGCACCTTGTATCGCACGCCCCCCGCAGAGCAAAGGGCAGGCTCGGTAGCCAACTGAGCTAGAAGGGAGGGCGGTGGGGCCACACCCGCGTGGACAGGGGCTTTAGTCCCACCTGCCAGCAACAGGCTGT